GGGGCTCAAGGCTTTTATCCCCTTCCCTGCTCTTCCGGCCTGCTACTCTGGCGTCCCTGCGTTGTCTCTCCTCGCCTGTAAGCCTGGGGCTCAAGCCTTTTATCCCCTTCCCTGCTCTTCCGGCCTGCTACTCTGGCGTCCCTGCGTTGTCTCTCCTCGCTTGTAAGCCTGGTGCTCAAGGCTTTTATCCCCCCTTCATTCTATAGTATAGATTATTTGTTTTCACCAACAAATGTTTCTCAGTGCTTTTTACATGGAAACATGAAATTTGGACCTGAAATTTCTCTGTTCAGGAAAGAATAGTTATACAAGTTGTTTACACTTTAAAATCTTGTTCTTCATTTCTTGTTCACACTGTTTATATAAATAAAATTAATAAAAATTCTATTTGCTTACTGCTAAATGTTATTTTTATAAATTAAATTGCTTGTTATGTATTTCTTTTGTTATATAATCAATGTAATCATTTTTCAAAACTGTTGGAAACCAGGGAGAAATTCATTAAGATTTCTACTTACTATTTCTTTAATTGAGTACTGACTTTTGAAAACAGGGGAATTACTTGATCACTGTAATGCTGTATACCAGAACACCTAGCTGATGATTGGGTAACTTCTGCTGCTTTTCCAAGTATAACACAGAAAAGAAAGAAATAGTTGGTTTTGTGGTTTGGGATAATCTTTCGTCTCTTCCGAGTCATCTCCAACACCTAAAGAATTTGGTCAAAATACCAGGCTCAAAAATTTTTTGTCTCTTTATTATTCTTTTCTTTTTGGTTCTGTCAGTTTCATAATGTAGACTTGATTGAAAACATCTAACATTTTATACTTAACTTTACAGAGGAATATTGCAATTTGAAAATGTTTCATATGGAATTGAGCCTCTGGAATTGGCAGTCGAATTTCAGCATCTTCTTTATAAACTTAGGAATGAAAACAATGAATTTACAATTTTTACCGAAAATAGCAGAAGCATAGAAACAAAACCAGTGGACTATAACATTTTTATAAGTGAAAAAGTGAGTTGTATATATTTTATTACTATTTTCAAAGCAGTATTGCTTTTATTTAATTTTATTTTAAAAAATGAATTAAGAACCCTTGTCTACTGCTGGTGGAATGTAAAATGTTACAGCTGTAAGTTGGAATTGACTGCACAGCCACTGGCTGGATTTTTATTTATATATTTTTTTTAGATATGTCATTGAATGGTGCACATAGTTTGTGCTTGGTTACTAATCCACAGGAGCCATGATGGTACAACAGTTAAGTGGTTGGATGCTAACTGAAAGGCTGGCAATTCAAACCCACTCAGTTGTTCTGTGTGAGAAAGACCTGATGATTGGCTCCTGTAAAGATTGCAGCCTAACATGTGAGCTGAACATTTATGTTAGGTAGATACACTTTTGGAGAGGTCAGTCATGGGAGAATAGAAGGGCTGTGTATGCACAGTGTTTTGGTTACCTAGTGCCACTCTAACAGAAATGTACCATAAATGGGAATGGCTCGAACAAACAGGAGTTCTATTATCTTACAGTTTTGGAGTCTAGAAGCCCATATTCAAAGTGCCAGGCTCTAGGGGCTATGTGAAAGCCTCTAGACCTTGGGCTTCAGCTCCACCTCTTGCTCCTGGCCCACTGAAGCTAGAGGTGTCTCTTCACTCAGGTAGCTGCTGAGGCTGACAAGGCCAAAGTTGACATGAAAAGGCATAGTTCTCGTTATTACCAAACCACACTGCAGGGCATTGATTCAAGTCCATTGAAAGTCCCAAGGTCAGCAGAGCATGGCAGGCTGCTGAACAGTGACTCACCTACATGCAGGGTTCAAGCGTGCAAGAAATGACAGACTGATGCCAAAGCTGCTGCTTATATCTGTGAAGCAGACCATGTCCTTTAAGCACAGCTACTCAGCTGCTTGTGGTAGATCCCACCATGGAATTGATTGTCTGTTTCATCATGGGGAATAACTACTACTAGCTGCCCAGCCACTTAACCAGGCCCAGCCAAGTTGACACACAAATTTAACTACCACACACAGGAAGATAGCTCACGGGCAGGAGTGCAGGGGAAGGAAGGACACAGGAAGGAGGTGGCTATGGGGAGGAAGTGGGAGGAGAGCTGTTACATTGTGGGTGTTTGCAGTCAGTCATGAGACAAAGTGTATGTGAACTGCTGTAGAGAAGATGAATTTGCTCTGTAAACTTTCACCCAAATCATAATAACATTTGGAAAAAAAAAAATAGAGGTTAACAACAACAACAAAAAAAAATTATAGCCTGCAAAATCCTATGGGGAAGTTCTACTCTATCATATGGGGTCGCTATGAGTTAAAATTGACTAAAAGACACCTAACAACACCAACATTAATCCAATAATCCAAGGGTTGATGGTTCAAACCCACCTAGTGGCACCAAAGAAGAAAGTCCTGGAATGTACTATAAGATTGCAACCAGTGAAAATACTATGGAGTGCAGTTCTATTCTGACACACGTGTGATTTCTATGAGTTGGGATCAGCTTGATGGCAGTGGGTTTGGCTTTTTGATTTGGTTTATGTTTTCCCAATATTCTGAAGATTTTGCATATTAAAAAATTTTTATTAAAAATTTATTATTGTGCCCTAAAAATTTTTCATTTTTACTATGCATAGAATTCTATATAAAAATTAAAACAAAATAAACATATTTTTTTCTGAGAAATTTGAAAGCATCACCTTGTAGAAATCAGTATTGCTGATGAGAACTGAGAGGCTAATATGATTCTTAGTTTTTGTTTTAGGTGATTTTTTTTCCTGTATTCTTTTTCTTTTCCCTTCTGTCTCTTCTCCTTGTATTACCTTCTATTTCCGTGATCTCTCTGGAATTCTTATTAAATCAGATATTGGACATACTCCTTTGGGCTTACCTTTTTCTCATATATTCTGTATCTTTTTTGCTTTTTGATTTGCCATCAGGGAAATTTTCTTGCTTTGTTTCCAATTGTTCTATTGAATTCTTTATTTCATGAAAATATTTCCAATGGTTCTTATTATGAGTTTTTCATTTTAAGGTTATATTGTTTGATGCTTGTATAATAGCATGATTTTTGTTGTGATTTGGTGTGTTTATTAGTATAAAAACATTGTAGATATTGTGTCAGTCTATCTTACTGGGAATTTACTCTATTTCTTTTAATGCTATATGCTATTTTGGCTAATATTAATATTGCTACACTGTATGTCCTTTTTATTAGTATTATCTACTATATACTTTTCGGTCCTTTTACTGTTGTGTGTTTCTGACACAGTATGTCTTTTATATTTGTTGTATACATATTTATAGCTTATAGCTCGATTTAATTTTTTAAATTCTCTGAGTATACCTACATGTTTGATTTTTTTTACTCCCAGTTTTTATGTTTACCATGCTATTGTTTCTTCTTTCTCTTTCTCCTTCACTTCTTCATCCCTTTCTGTTCTTTCCATTCTATGTTGGTTTCATATTCATATTTTTAAAATTTAATTTATTTGGATGATATTTGTTTTCTTTTAATTTTTTAAAGGGTTTTTACAATTTATAGTATGAATACTTACATATATATATTTTTTTTTTTTCACTGAAGTACTTCTTTCTATAGGAGTCTGTAGTAGTACAGTCATATTTTTTTCTGCATCTAAAAATGTCTTGGTTTTACTTTTCTCTTGAAAAATAGTTTTCTGATACAAAAGTATAAGTTGACAATTTTTTCCTTTCATTATCGTTAGGATATCAATCTATTATATTCTGATACCTTTTGATGCTGATAAGTGTAAGATCAATCTAAGTATTGTTTGTTTTTAGGAACTTTATGTTTTCTGCCAGTTTTAAAGATTTTCTTTGTCCTTCACATTCAGCAGTTTCACAATGAAATGTCAAGATGTGGGCTGTTTCAGTTTCTCCTTTGGGGATTTTCTCTGTTGTTTGAATTTAAATCTACACACACACACACATGAAAAAGAAAGGACAAATTCATGACTATGTTAGTCTCAAAACCCCTACAAACCAATTGCCTTCAAGTTGGGTTTGACTCATAATGCCCCACGTGCATCAGAGTGGAACTATTCCCCATAGGGTTTTCAGTGGCTGATATTTTGGATATAGATCACCAGATCTTCTGAGGTGCCTCTATGTGGACTTGAACAGCCAATTTTGCCAAGCACTTAACTGTTTTTGTCACCCAAAAAGCCAAACTCACTGTCGTGGAGTCGGATCTGGATTCGACTCACAGTGACCCCTCCTTGGGTTTCTGAGGCGGTATCACTACAGAAGTAGATTGCCTAACCTTCCTTCTGAGGAGTGGATGGTGGGTTTGAACTACCAGCCTTTTGGTTAGCAGTCAGATGCCTTAGGCATTATGCCACCACCCCTAATTTTAGTGCAGCCCAATTTAATTCCTTTTCATTTAATACTGGTCATTCCTTTTATCTGTTTTCTCCCAACCTCTGTCTGTATGAGCTTGCCTTTCTCATGTTAGCAAAATTACATATATATAATTATGCATGTAATTATATAAACAAAGCATTGTTGTAGAGAAACATCATGGAGTCTACTTAAGTAAAAGTGAAAGAAGTTTTTGAGGGATAGAAACAGTCTGGACTGGGAAGATGTCCATTTTCAGAGCAAAATGGCCAATCCACCAGACAATGAGGAAGGAAAAAATTTTGTGCAGTTGGAGCAGGAACTAAGTTATAATACCATATTTGGCTGAAATACGACTAGGAGAGTGAAAAGCATTATATCTAAAAGTGGGGATTTATCAAGAGTAGGTGGATAACATATGTTAGATTACATGATTGGTTAAGGGTACCTAATTGCAAGCATACAAACTCTTTAATTTATTACAGGTTGGTCATAGCACTGTGACAGAACAGTTGTTTGGGTAACCTGCTATAAAATTATTTTCTTAATCATACCTGTTTCTGGGGGTCCATTGCAAAGATTTATTGATAATGCTGTACATCAAGACCCTTTGAGTATAAACTACCACATCTTACAACTGTTTGACCATAGGAGAAAGAACCACTGGGAATAGATTGTGATATCCTGCACGTGCCAGATCTTAGAGAAAATTAATGTCTCTTTTAGGGTGTATGGTCAGCATCAGGGTTTGTTAAACAACAGTTTGAGGAACTGCTGTTATGAGGGAAAAAAAAAAAAAACAAACCCTCAGTGCTGTGAAGTCATTTCCAACTCCTAGCAATGCCTCTTTCGGTTTCTGAGGTGGTATCTCTATGGAAGAAAAGCAGCTTTAAAATTCAACATGGATTCTAGACACACATCAAGACTTTAAAACAGAGACAGGAAGATGGCGTTTTACCTGTAGCCCACATACGATTTCCCTCTAGCATCTTAGTGCCTGAAAATCTAGGTGCAGCAGTTTGAAGCAGGGATTCTGGTGCTCTGAGCAGCTTATTAAATCAGAGAACACAAACTCAGGGGAGTAAGAGTAGAAAAGAGGGAGAGGCAGTGTAACCAGCCAGAAAGAGTAAAATATAGGGGAACTTGCCCTGTAGAGTCCCGACCAGCCAGCAAGACAGGACATCAGAGGGCTCCCTGATGCAGTAGAAAGAATACACAGGAGGACCTGCAGCCACTCCATGGATCTACCTCCAGCACCCACTTTTATTGGTAAACCTGGGACCATAGGGAGTGAGTAGAGAACCCTCTGGCTCCAGATGCTGCTAAATTGGGACCAGACAGGGAAGCTTGCTGCAAATGGATGGACCTTGGGGCAATCTCATGGTGTAGGGAAGGGCACCTATTCCAGGACAGCATTTTGGCATGGAGGGGCCTGGAGTATGGAGTTTTTGTAGCTGTCTGATTCTGGCAGAAAGTGGTGGCCCCCTAACCATTGAGGTCTTTGCCAAACTTGAGCTGTGGGCCTGTGAGTAGCAGTATAACGTCATCATTAGCAGCCTACTCAAAGCCCTGGGAATGGCTACTGGTACCTTGGAGGTTTTGTTTTTCTCTTTTCTTCCTGCTTTCCCCACCTCTCCCCTGCCTC